CAACCTTAGCCCGGCCCAAGGAGGGCGAGGTCTTAGAACTGTACCTCTCGGCAAGCGACGAGGTGGTCAGTTCGGTACTAATAAAAGAAGTAGATTGGGTCTAGCGGCCCATCTATTATCTTAGTAAAATTTTGCAAGGAGCAAAGACGAGATACTCGCAGATAGAAAAGCTAGCGTACGCACTGGTAATTGCAGCTCGGAAACTCCACCCATATTTCTAAGCTCACACTGTCATCGTCTTGACTAACAAGCCTCTGAGGCAAGTCTTACTCAAGCCCGAGGTTTCCGGTCGGCTGACGAAGTGGGCCATCGAGCTCAGCGAGTACGACCTCCAGTATAAGCCACGAACTGCTATTAAAGCCCAAGCCTTAGCAAATTTTATCGCCGAGTGCACATTTAGCCTCGAAGTTCCTAGGCCGGTTGAGCTCGAGATCCCTAGTTCAGGTGAGCCCGGAGCTCCCAAGCCAATAGAGTCCGAACCCCATGAAGTAGCAGCCAGTGTGGCATCTATCCTAGTTAGGCCAAACGCGAACTGGGAGGAAGAGCCTTGGATCCTTCACGTAGATGGCTCCTCTAACCAGCAGGGCTGGAATAGTGCAACGCGGCCCAGGTGGCACGAAATTGGAATACGCACTACGCTTTGAGTTCGCGGCATCCAACAACGAGGCGGAGTATGAGTTATTGATAGTCGGGCTGAACCTAGCGCAAAAGGTAAGAGCAAAACACATAGTTTACTGCAGCGATTCCCAGCTTGTAGTCAACCAGGTTACGGGCGAATACGAAGCACGCGAGCTGACTATGATCGCCTACTTGGCAAAGGTAAAGGAGGCTCTACTCAACTTCCAGTCACACTTCATCAGGCAAATCCCGAGGTCAGAGAACACTAAGGCCGACGTCCTGTCCCGGTTAGCCAGCACGAGTCACAACACCATGAGAACCGTGTACATCGAGGACTTACCTCGGCCTAGAATTCTTGGTGGGGCAGAGAAGGTGGCTCCCGTCCTTGAAGTAGAGCCGAACTGGATTGACCCACTATGGCATGAGTGGCAGCACGACATGCTACTTGGTTCAAAGGAAGCTCGGTCCATGCCGCGACCTCCTCAGGATAGATGGCCTCCCTACTCTTCTGAAGAGCGTGGTTCGGCGACAACACGCTCCTGAACTCGCCTCAGGCTCCCGAGCCTGAGGGCCCAGCTCATGTATAAGCAGATTCAGTGTAAGCGGGAGCCCCCATGTAAGTAGCCTCGACATAAGGGGTCCCTGCCGCTTCATGTACTGGAGGGGCAATCTTGAGCTCCCTGGGTGGATCCACTAACGGGTAGTCTGGTACCTCGGGCTCCGCATCTCGGGGTAGCTCGACACGAGTTCGTTTGGCGACTCACTTCCTCCTCTTCATGCCGTGAAACAAGTGCCCACCATGAGTCTTCTCTGAGTCCATCACACCTGCAAAAAGAGCTCGACATCAGAAAAAACGAAAGAAAAGAGCAAAACAAAAGACAAACCTCTGAGTAAGGAACCTACCCGAACTCAGACCGGCCTCAATGAGCTTGGCCTCCGTCAAATAATGATGGCATTTTAGCCCAAGCCGTGCCCATTGCCGGAGGCCCTTCGTCGTCTCCTTATCAAGCGTAACACCGGCATCAGGGGCAGCCATCCCCCACCCGGTTTGGAACGGCCACCCCAATGCACTTCGCACCCCGAAGTAGTCATGTTTCTACGTTGGGACCTTGTTGGGAAGTTCGTGTAAAAGCTTAAAACTCGGGCGAGGAGACAGGTAATACGCCCGCCTATGCCCGGGAAGGGGACCCGCTTGCTTCTTAAGCATTAAAATGGAGGAGAAGATCTCTTGGTCTAAAGGCAAGACCTGTTCGCAAAATAGGGAGATTGTCCCCACCAAGTTATGAATAGAGTTCGGGTGAAGCTGGCCGACTGTAACATCGAAGTAGTTCATTACCTTGACAATGAGGGGGTGGAAAGGAGGGCGCAACCTAGCAACGAGCTACTCCCGGAATATCACGATTTCATCAGGACCGTGTTCCCAAGGGAAACTGCCCGAGGGTATGAAGTAGGTGTACTCCCTAGGCAAGTTGAACTGGGTAATAAGGGAATGAAGCCCCTCAAGCGTCATGGTCGAAGGCCCAAACTTGTCCAACGTTCGACCTCGACGAGAGGAGGACGCCAAACTACCCGAGGCGACTCGGCCTACGGGTTCGAACTCTTCCTCGAGTTCTACCTCAGGTTCACTAGGACTATCGAGGGATGCAACTCAGTTCGTAGAACCTACATCCGACCCCCTTGAAGAACTGTTTGAGATATCCGAGCTAGACATTGGAAGGAGAATAAGGATTACAGGAAAGTACTCACCCGGAAAAAAGCAAACGGACTATGGGAATGTGAACGCGAGCTAGAGGCTTGGATGCGACCTGAAACTGGGATGCGAGCTCAAGAAGCAAAATGCAGGATAATGACAGCGACTGGGATACCCCACTATTTATACCCACAGTAACCGAGAATCAACGGCTTAGATCAAAGACAATCCAACGGCCCGCAGTCGTGCTGACCGCACGTCTCCCGAGACCGAGACGTGATTGGCCGCACGTCTCTTGAGACCGAGACGTGATTGGCCGCACGTCTTTCTGAAACTGAAAGAACGCCAGCGTACGTCTCCTTGCATTAAAGGCGGCAGCGACGCATTTTTTCAAATTTGAAAAGACGCCCGCTGTCACGTCTCCCAGCGGCGCGCTTTTTGAATTTTGAAATAAGCGCACGCTGTCACGTTTGTCAGCATTTATAGACAGATTGGCACATTTCCCGTCTTTTTGGTGCTCGAGAAACCCGGAAAAATCCTGACGAACGTGCACTTCGCGCTATCAGTCAAAACCAGTTCGAAGTACGGGACAAATCCATCCGCCACCTCGCGAACTCTTTGAGCCAGGACAAGTCCCTTAGCACGAGGAGTGGGGGGCAATTGATGAAGGAAGATTTGGCCCGACCTCGTAATCACTCAACACGTGGCAAAGGCAACAACTCGGCACAACAGCACGCCCAAGGCGCGAGCTCCGAAAGGAGGAACCAGAACTCCCCGTAAGGAGCCCGAGCTCTCCCTTAGGCCCCGAGCTTTACGAACACAAAGGGCAACATCCCAAACTGGCCTGCCCCATGGAAGTTCGGGACACACCTCTATCCGAACTCAAGACTTCACCTTGCTCACCACTCCAGCACTTCGCCTCCAGGACGACGAACAGAACAACCGTACCGTGCCTGACACCGAAGGAGTCCGTATCCAGGGGCGGCGCACCTGACTGACTTGGGATCTGACGCTTGACAGCCGCACTTCAACGGCCACCTGCCACCGCCACCTGCCACCGCCACCTGCCACCGCCATCTCACCGGGTTCCTCCCCGGAGATCCCTCACTTTCTTCTCCGTTTTCAGGCCCCTGTTGCTCCAGTCAAAGGCAAGGACGTTGACAGATAGGACCGGCCGGATTGCGCACCATCAGATATGAAATAAACAAAATAGAATAGTGAAACAAGATTCACCAACTCACTCCATAGTTAAGATGGGGCTTGAATGATGAATTGATGATGATGGGAAATTATGCTTTGCATAATGGCTGTTTGGGCTTCTTTTTGCCTATTCATAGATATGAAATGTGCCAACTAGACATGTTCATGGATTGGACTCGAGTTTTGCTTTTGCCAAAATTTGAATGGGCTGACTCGAAGCCCGGTCCTGACATAGTATAAAGTTAGGTCTGAAGCCCGACCAGTGAACAAGTCTAGTTCCACCAATGTTAGGCGAACCTTAATGCTGGTTGATTTTTCGCATGGGGTGCCAACCGGTTTATTGGTTTGACAAAAAAAAATCTGGTTGCTTGATAATGTCTCCTACTGATTGTAGCGGAGACTTGGGATTGAATCCCAACTGCACATTGGTTGAGGGGGTTTGGGTGATGGCCTGATGGGGATCCTTAGAGAAAAAAAAAAAAAGAAAAAAAACAAAATTGTGCCTTTGACTCCATTTGGAAGGAGTACAAATACAAATATATAGAGTATTAAACCTAAACCTTGTATTTTGTATTATTTTGTATGTATTTATATTATACATATATTATACATATTTTTGTATTTGTACTCCTTCCAAACTGAGCCTTTAAATCATATACTTTCTCATGCAAAAGATGCAACCTAAAATACCAAATTATGCACTTTTGGGTGCCATGTTAAATACAGAAAGTTTCAATATCATATTGTTTTAAAGAAAATAGGAAAATATTACTCTGTAATATTATAAAATATAAACATACACACCATTTTGGAGGATGATTCAAACCTCCAAAAATAAAATTTCTCTTCAAAGAAGTTGAAACATAAATGCACTATATCTGTATATCTGTGGAAAGCGAGGGGAGGGTTCTTATTTGGAGCAACTTGTTGAACCGAATCCATATGGAACCCTGACTTGGAGTCCGCCAGTCCGGATCTGGTCCGCCGTACATCGGGAGCATCTTCCCAGAACTTCATGTTGAGATGTTCCCGATGCACGGCTGCACATCAAATCCGCATTCGACCTGTTGATATCCTTGGCTTTAGATTTCTAAAAAGCGTATCTGACAAGAGTTCGGATTAATTACCAACAAACAGTGCCAACACGTTCCAACTCTCCATTGTAGCCGTATATCGGGAACATCTCGCATCAATGACAAGCAGATGCTTCCACTGTGAAGCTGCAGTGGTTTGTAAGGACAGAATTAGTAGCGTCTTGTTGCCTTGTTGGTAGCAGCCTGTAAGGCGCCAGGTGGGAGGAGCAGATCCGGTAGAGCAAGGCGGTAACGTGCTCTCCGCTTTGCCCATGTGACGCTTCGCTCCAAAGCCATGAAAAGATTTAAAAATTGATCCTGTGGTCCTCCCCATTTAATATATTCAAGTTTTAGCCAATCACCAGCACCCACGTTTAACTATCCACGACGTTCAATTTCTATCCGTTTACAATCACGATTCACGAGCCAGCTCCAAATTCAAATTCAAAAATTTTCAAACTGTTTTAGGGTGGGAACAAGAAGAAACCAGTGAAGCCGGAGCGCCATTACCGAACGAACTCTGAAGTCTGAAGTAAATTCTCTGTTTACAAAACAAAATGCCGCATCGTTGATCGTTTATGTGTGTGTAAATTTATGCATTGAGGTTTGCAATGAAACTTCTCTCTTGCCCGATTGATTGCTGGTTTTTTCACTGTGTTCTCCGGTCTGTTACATCTCAGTTCTCGTTTTCCTTTTTTGTGTTTTGTTTTTCAGAGATGGAGTTCCACACAATGAAGAGAAAGGATCTACAAGCATTGTGCAAAAAGCACAATATACCTGCGAATACAACGAACCAGCAGATGGCAGACAGGCTTGCTTCGCTTCTTAAGGTACCCATTGATGTCCCCTTTTCATTTTTGCGTTTTTTTCCCGCAATTTTCCTTCATTTTCTCCCCTTTGCGATCTTTGGTTTGAAGTTTTCTTTGTATCAGAATCGGATCCATGTTTTTTTTTTATTCTCCTGAATTTGAATGACACAGGTAGAAGAAAATCCCAGAAGTAGAGCCCCTTCTTGTTTGAAGGATTCGGGGGAAAAAGACGGTGCTAAAGAATCCAACATCGTGACAGGACAAGATAAGAAAGTTAGATTCAGTCCTCGGGTTGAAATTGTAGAGTTGGAGGACTCGCCAGACTTGAAAAAATCTCCGGAGATTAATAAGGTCGCCAGGACACGGAGGAGGTCTATGGCCAGGCCGGAACCTGGAAAGCCTGAAACCACTGCTGAGAAGCTCGAGGAAGTTCCAGACATCCCTCTAAGAAATACGAGGTGTCGTTCCGGAAAATCGACAGAAGGTGAGGTAACCGTGACTTCATCACCTGTAATTGGACGAAAGAAACGAAGAAAAGAGGTTGATTTGAAGGATACGGTGAGAAGTACTTGTGTTGAAGAGACAGGAGATCGTCCTGCTGTAGAAACCAGAGCAGCAGTTGCAAGATCATTGAGGAAAAAGGAGGTTTTGTCACTTAGTGCCGAGGTTAATGATGATGATAAGAAAGATTTGAGCCCAAGAAAGACAAGGAGGGGAGTCGTTGAAGTGGCACGAAGGAACACCAGTTCTAGGGCTCGTGTTCTGGAGGCAGAGTGTGAAGCTGGAAACCGAACTGAAACTGAGGCTGAGGAAACTGAACGTGTTGTTCTTCAACCCAAAGAACCAACGCGGCGTTCAACTCGCAATGCTTCTAAGCAGGAACCCTGTGCACCCGGTGACATTGAAGCTGGAAACCGAGATGAAACTGAGGCAGAGGAAACTGAACGTGTTGTTCTTCAACCCAAAGAACCAACGCGGCGTTCAGCTCGCAATGCTTCCAAGGAGGAACCATGTGCACCCGGTGACAATGAAGCTGGAGTTCAGGCTATAGTGGAGCAAGAAACGGTGAGAGTCTCAGAATTCAAAGAAGGGCCTCCAAGAAGATCTGGTCGCCGTGCTTCGAAACTGAATCCTGTTTTTCCAGCTATTAGGAAGGCAGGAACTGATGAAAATTTGCGTGGGAATGGAGCACAGAGGAAGCGGTGTGCACCAGACGACAATAAAGCTGGTGTTGAAGCAGTGGTGCAGGAAGATACAGCGGCGAATGTCTCTCAACTCGAAGAAGGGCCTCCAAGAAGATCTAGTCGCGTTGCTTCGAAGCTGAATCCTAATGCTCAAGATAATGGGATGACGGGATGTGACGAAACTGTGCGGAACAAGGGACCCCAGAAGAAGCGACAGAAAGATGCAGTCTTGGAAGGATCATCTTTTATGGCTGAAGTGGTAGAATCTCAACTTGAAGGAAAGGGAGCCTTTCAACTCAAAGACCCTGTGAGGAGATCTAGACGAAATTCTTCTGTACATGAATATGTTATTGTCAGTGGAGAGGGTGAAAATGGTGATGCTGTTCAAGGAAATGAAATACTGAAGCCCTCCAGTCTCCCTGTTATGGGAGAAGAAGAAGTTTCAGCAACTGAGTGCATCTCTCAACTTGCTCAGCCTCTAAGGAGATCCAGAGGACAAGCTTCTAAGCAGGAAGATACAGTCTTGGGAGGATCATCTTGTGTGACTGAAGTTGTAGAATCTCAATTTGAAAGAAAGGGGGTCTTTCAACTCAAAGACCCTGTCAGGAGATCTAGACGAAAATCTTCTGTACATGAATATGTTATTCTCAGTGGAGAGGATGAAGCTGTTCGAGGAAATGAAACACTGAAGCACTCCAATCTCCCTGTTATGGGAGAAGCAGAAGTTTCAGCAACTGAGTGCGTCTCTCAACTTGCTGGGCCTCCAAGGAGATCCAGACGACAAGCTTCTAAGCAGGAATCATCTGTAGAAACCTCTGTGGTGGGTGTGACTGCTGAACCTTCAATAAAGAACGTGCAAAGGAAGCGTCTACGGAAGTCAATCCTGGAAAAAGGTTCTTCTGTAATGGAGGGTGCCACTTTAATTGAGGAACTGCCAATTCCAGATCCTGAAGTTTCTGTAAATCTTGTCGAGGGTAGGGGTAGCTCCTTCAATCCAGTTCTGAGTTCCATCAAGGAGGTTCCTGAGGCGATGAATGGGAAGAGGAAGACCAGGAGAAAGTCTCCTACTAAGAAAGGAAACAGATCAAAGTCCATTGTTTCTGATTTTGAAGAAACGCAGGATGTTGTGGAAGTAGGTTTGGAGGCGGTTATTCCTGCAACTGCAAGGCTTGAGATTCATTCTGAAAACCATGAGGAAAGGGCTCTTATTGAAGAAATAGATTTGAATACTGCGGATGAAACTATGCAAATATCAGTTGAAAAAGGTAGTTCCTTGGTGGATGAAATTTTAGGTGGCAGAGATGATGAAGCATTAGACTTGCAGAATACACTGGAATGCGCTGATGTTACAGATTTAGAGCCAGTGAAGGAGCAGTTAAATGTCTTCACTGATGTGGAAAGGATGCGCATACTATTTTCTGGAAATAATTCATTAGAGGTGCAGGAAGAACAAACTAAGTGTTGCGAAGTTGCAGATGAAACAGAAGCTTCCGCTGTTGGGAACAGTTTAGAAGTCCCTTGTGAGCTCCCTCAGACTGTTGTACAAGAACTAGCCAACCAAAATTCTGAAGAAACCCAGCCGGTTCATCTTTCGTATGATAGTTCTTCCGTCGAGTGCAGTTTCAATGTTGGTATAGAAATTTTTTCTGAAGTCGCTGAAAAAGTAGAGTCTGTAAAGAAGGCTATTATGGAAGCCACTGAAACAGTAGAATCTGTGAAGGCGGCGGCTAATATAGAAGCCAGTGAAGCAGTAGAATCTGTAAAGGAGGCTACTATGAAAATCACTGAAACAGTAGAATCTGTGAAGGAGGCGGCTACCGTGGATGTCACTGAAGCAGTAGAATCTGTGACGGAGGAGTCTTCTATGGAATTCACTGAAACAGAATCTGTGAAGGAAGCGGCTATCATGGAAGTCACTGAAGCAGTAGAACCTGTAAAGGAGGCTACTAAGGAAGTCCTTGAAGCAGTTGAATCTGTAAAGGAGTCTATTATGGGTGTCAATGATGCAGTAGATTTTGTAGAGGAGGCTTCAATGGAGGTCACTGAAACCGTAGAATCTGTGAAGGAGTCAGTTACTACGGAAGTCACTGAAACAGTAGAATCTCTGAAAGAGGAGGCTACTTTAGAAGTCACTGAAGCAGTTGGATCTCTGAAGGAGAAAGCGACTATAGAAGTCACTGAAGCAATAGAATCTGTAAAGGAGGCGACTACTACGGAAGCCATTGAAACAGTAGAATCTGTGAAGGAGGCTACTAAGGAAGTCACAGAAGCAGTAGAATCTGTAAAGGAGGCTATTATGTGTGTCAATGAAGCAGTAGACTCTGCAGAGGAGGCTTCTATGTATGTCACTGAAACCATAGAATCTGTGAAGGAGGCGGCTACTACAGAAGTCACCGACACAGTAGAATCTGTGACGGAGGCTTCTATGGAAGTCACTGAAACAGTAGAATCTGTGAAGGAGGCTTCTATGGAAGCCACTGAAACAGTAGAATCTCTGAAGGAGGAGGCTACTATAGAAGTCACTGAAGCATTAGAGGAAGTAACCGAAACAGTTGAGTCTGTAAAGGAGGCTTCTATGGAAGTCACTGAAACAGTAGAATCTCTGAAGGAGGAGGGTACTATAGAAGTTACTGAAGCAGTAGAATCTGTCAAGGAGGCTGGTACTATAGAAGTCACTGAAGCAGTAGAATCTGTCAAGGAGGCTGGTACTATAGAAGTCACTGAAGCAGTAGAATCTGTAAAGGAAGCTACTATGGATGTCACTGAAGTAGTAGAATATGTAAAGGAAGCTACTATGGGTGTTACTGGAACAGTAGAATCTGTAAAGGATGCTTTTATGGAACTCACTGAAACAGTAGAATCTCTGAAGGAGGGTACTATAGAAGTTAGTGAACCAGTAGAATCTGTAAAGGAGGTGGCTACTATAGAAGTCACTGAAGCAGTAGAATCTGAAAAGGAAGCTACTATGGATGTCACTGAAGTAGTAGAATCTGTAAAGGAGTCTAGTATGGAAGTCCATGAAACAGTAGAATCTGTACAATCTATTCTGGCTGCTAATGACATAATGCTAGAGGTTAACGGCCTCTGTCTTGGATGCCAAATTGAAGATTTGGGTGAGCAAATGTTTTACGATTTAGTTAACAACCATTTCTAAATTTCCGATCTGTTTCCTGTAATTGCTAACTCGATGTCTAATTATTTTCAGGGAAGCCTATTCTTAATGTTTTGGACATGGGGGAAGAAGATGATGCAGATGATGAATTTTCAGTGAGCCAAAAGAAACATCGAAGAGATAGTTGTTTGTTTGATTCACATACTCAAGAACAACAATCAACGGACTGGAAGGAGACCGAACAACAAGATGTTGCTGAAGTTAGTGCGGGTTGCTTAACAATTACAAATGAATCTCTTTGTGCTCATCAAGATGGTGCTGAGGAAAACGGAAGCTCAGATGAAACCCGTAATGTTGATTCTGGAAAAGTTGATGGGATGGGTATTGGATCTTTTGATAGAGATGGGAATGGTCAGCGGTTCCAAGAACTTTTGTCTGCAGAAGCCAACAAAAAGAAACTGAACTTTATATTTGATGATTTAGCTGAGGCTTTTTTTCTTAATTCCGAAGAGAATTCCGAGGGGCGACAGCATCAAGATCCGAGTAGGGACGATGAAGATGCCACAGTGGAAGGGAACTCTACAATTTCTCCTGAACAAATCGCGAACCAGAAGGAAAGTAGGGAACTCTACAATTCTGAAAAGAAATACATGTTAGAATTTTCTCCCTTGAAAACTGGTGAAGCTTCAGATATTCATCGAACCCTTGAAAAGGGTGCATCAGATTACCGTGCTTTTGATAGTAACGGTGCTCTTTCGGCTGTTAACTCACCAACTACCCAAGGTATTGAAGTCAGAGAATCTCTTTTCTGGAAGTATGTAATACGTTTGTTTGACTAATAGTATATTTTTTGCAGATAATGCCTCACGAGTGGTAGATGTTGAGTCTTGTCTGAACAGCATGGCTTCAAAGCTCATTAGAGATGCTGCTATTGGTATTGTTGGTCTATCAAGTAGAAAAGCAGATATCAACTCAGGGAGATTTGAAGATTCTTCAAATGAAACTGATCCCATTGACTCTATAAGGTTTTTATTTTCTGAAGTTAGTTCAGTGCAGAAAGAAGACGTGGTGAGCCGTGATTCTGAATTGGGTGCAGCAGATGCCAAACCTGTTAATAATTTCAGCAATCTTTCAATTGTTGAGGCATTGGCGATCCAAGGTATTGTAAGAAGCTAACTGTCAATATCACAAGAAATATGATGTTTATGAGACTAATACCTGACCTCTTACAGATGGTGAGGCAACAGATGTGGATGAGGCGCCCAGTGTGAACTGTATTAAATCGAAGTCCTGTGGGAAGGATACTGCAGTAACTGCAGTGTTGAGAGGAGAAACATATTATGGTCCGGAAGATTCTGTAGAATCTTCACATGCTGCTGGAGATAATCCATCTGTAAGGGAAGAACTCGAACATGCGGATATGAAAGAAAATACAGAGGGAGAAGTAATGGCACAACTTACTGAGGAGGAGCTTGGTTCTGTAAATAAATGTGAAGTTCTGGTGGTGATGGAACATGATAACTGTCCTTTTGTAGAGCTTGACAATGGTAATCGTGGATTGGTAAGTGATAGTGACATTGGGGTGGCCAATGTGCTGAAAGGCAGGGTTGGTGAAAGGGTCAAGCTTGAAAATGGTGTGGAGTTCATGGATGAACTGTCGGGCTCTGTAAATGGGCGTATAGTTGCAGATATTGATAGAGCGAACAATGAGAATGTGGGGACTGTAGAGAAAAAAATGGATATCCTCAGAACTGAGGCTGATATGAGATCGGAAAAGACATATCAGGAGCAGGGAATAATTGATCCCAACTTCATCACCTCACCAATATGTGGAGGTAAATTTTTAGCAGTTTATAAATTGTTGTGCTGCATGTCTTTTCATTTTTGACATTCCAATCACGTATTTTTCTTGTTCTTCCAGATTTTCCCTGGTCGGTAGATAGGGCCACTGAAGATAGACTTGGATCTGAATATAGCATTTTCCCAGTAGAGGCAAAAGGTGAACAGATCCAATCCAGTGAAGATGCGGGAAAGAGATATTCTGGAGAACTTGATACCAATGAGGTCAGTGGTATCCCGCAATTTGAGTCTAAAACATTGGCTGAGGCAACGGAAGCATTGGAATGTGTGGATGATGCTAATGAACCAGTGGCTGGTGGCATCTCTCCTGTTTGCCAAATGGGTGATTTGAGTAAGTAATTTACCTTTCTACATCAAACTGTTATTCTTTGACATCTGGTATATATCCAACAATTGCTATTTTTATCTGAATTTTTTGCAGGTCTACCTGTTTTAGATCCTCTTGACACCGCTGTAGAATATGAACCAGATGGTCAAAAATCAGTAAGCCAAGAAAGTAGTCAATTAGATGGTTATGTTTCCTGTCGAGATGTTGAATATTTTGAGTCTTCTGGTTGCAATGAAAAAGAGACACCGGAGATTGTTGTGCCTGACACTCTTGCTGAAACAAGTCTACATGATGCTGTTGGGAATTGTTTAAGTGAATCCAAAGAGATTGGAAGATCAGATGAGATATTGGAACTTGTTTCCATGGAAGTCAAAAATACTGATGACTTCTCTAGTAGAGGTGAAATCTCTCAAATAGATAGTAGTCATATTAATTACTGAGGTTCTTGTTTTGGAAAGAAAACTGACAAATATGATTTTATATTTGCAGATTCTGTTGGTGATCTCACAGTTAATACAGAATTGTTGGAGCCACAACCAAGTCATGAATTGTCTGTGAACTGTGGAGATGCTACAGTGAAAGTGGATAGTAAAGAGGGAGTAGATGGGGATATCCATTCAGAAGGTTCTAAAATGATTATTGAAAAGGAAGATTATGAGGAGCATGATGATCCTGAATTTGAAGACACGGGGATTTCACTTGAGAATGGTGTTGGGGATTCAGAACTCTGGCAAATTGTTAAAACAGGTGTTAGATTCTCTTACCTTTTAGTGGTATTTATGTTTTGCGAATTGTTGAAGCGTTGACAACTCTATGTGTTGTATGTATTTCCCAAATGCTTTCTGGTGAAATTCTAATACATTTTTAGCAACATGTACAGATTATTCCTCTGAAAATCTCACCCTTGAGGAATTTGCTGAAGTGAAAGTGGAAAGAGGAATGCCTGTTTCTGTCTCGGTTGACATTGAGGAGCCTTCCAATGAAATTGGAATTGTTCAATCTGTGCATGGTGAACATGAATGCTGGGAACTGAAAGAGACCAAACAGGCTATTGAAGAAATTACCCTGCTGCCACATGCTGAAGATGTTTGTTTAATGAAGGTGTCTTGCTTGGAAGAGCATGATTGTGGGAGTCATGAAAAAGCCGATGAAGAAAATATAAAGGTGACTACTGAATTTAATGTTGAGGTTGGAGAAGAGGTGATCATGGTAGAAATGGACGTGGATAAAGTTCCAGAAGTGGAAGTGGAAGAACCTATGAAGGCCTTGACGGAAAAGCACAATAGTGTCCATGGTGAAGCTGAAAAGAGCCAACAGAGTGCAGAGACCTTTAGAGAGAATTTTGATCAAGAGGATTGTGAAACGAGTGTAGGTAGCATGGTTCTTACACCTGCTTGCAAAGGTAATTTTAAGAATCTGAGAATTATGATGTGCAACTCGGTTATTTGATGTATTCCTGAAACTTATTATTCTTTTTCTTGTTGCAATTAATAACCTAGGTTCCGCGGACTTCTCCATGGAAGACGGTTCTAATAGCTGTGGATGCAGTAATGTTACTTCTGAAGGTGGAAAGATTGTATTACAGAAATTCTTAATGACCATGAGGGAAGAATTGAGTGCTGCACTTTGTCAGGAGGCCGCTGGGCCTCAAGAAATTGAGGAGTTGTTGAAAAGCCTTGAAGGTGTGGGGTGGGACTTTGAAAATGACTTCTCTCTTGGTTCTGCTGCTCTTTCACCCGTTGCTGATTCAAAAAGTCAAGGTGTGTGGTTCATTGTTTGATCTATTTTTCTTTTTTGATGCCAGAGTATTTGATGGGCCTAGATTGGGTTTTCTTTCACTTCTTTTGAGTGTTTTCTGGGTACTAATTGACTTCAATCTTTTTCTTTTTCATTGAGTGTTTGTTTTTTTATTCAAAAGTATCAATTACCAGGACTGAGCTTGCTCTCTGTTATACTGGCGTGGTATTGGCTGACTTGTTTTGTCTTAAACCGGAGCTATTTTACATTTTCTTTCAGTTGTTTGAAAGAACAGTTTCTTACTTTTAATTATCTCATCTTTGCAGATTGTGGACAAAGTACCAAGGAGATCTATTCTTCCGAGCATAATCATGTATTGTACAAAGATGAAGAAAGAGGTTTGCATCCCTAGTTCCTACACTCTTCCTGTATTTGACTATATACAGTAGTGAGGAGATTATAAATTTTAATTTTAGTTATTTATTTTCTTGTAATACGTGCTGAGAAGAATCACTATTTCTCCCTGTACTTGACACAAGACCATATTTTTAATATTTTATTGTAGTTATTTATTTCTTGTTGGAACTGCAGATTGGAATGAGCAAATAAATGATGACAAACCTAGCCCTTTGGATTCATTCTTTGTTGCTAAAAGCCCAAGTCAGCAATTGAAATTGGAGTTATCTGGTAGGAAGCAAGTTTCAGCAGCCAAGATGAATCAAGTCAATAGTCTACTGAAGAGGTTATTTATTTCTTCTGCTGTGAAAAGGAGATGTGCTGGGAACAGCTCTGTGCAGAACACACCTGAGAAATCACTTGTTAACATGCACGAATTTGGAATGAAGGAGAATGTTGTAAGCAGTAAGAGAGGCCGTGATATTACAATTGAGAGATCGGGAACAAAAAGGAGAGCATTAGGTGATCTGCAGAATAGAATGAGAGTTGACAAGGCCTCTTGAGTTGTTTAGGAATAACGACTATTTAACATTGGATGAAGACCTGATGAGGGACTTCAATGCATAGAATACCTGAGGTGGAAATTTAGTAGCTTAGGCATACCTCATGCAAGCGCACTTAGGAGACCGCTTTTTAGGTGTCTCTGTATTTTAACATTTTATCTTGTTTGTTGATTTCATGGATGTGTTCAGTTTTCTGGTTTCACAACAAGGCTGTTGTAACTTGTAAAAATCTAGTTCTAGGCCTTGTTCGTCTTTGTTGGTTGCCCATCTTCAGAGAAATGAAAATTTTAGTGTAACATTTGGTAGGGAAATGATCTCACAAACTAAATGTTTTGTATTTCTTATCGTCTTTTATGTTTCGAACTTAGTTTACTGCTCTTCTCGTTAAAACATTGAACTGAATTCTTTGAATTTGCTTTTATTTTTCCTTTTCCTTCATAAATTGAGGTGTATGTCTAAGTGAAACAATCATTTTAATTTCACTAGCCAATCAGATCCAACCTTAAGGCTGTCAACTGAGTTGTGTGCAAGTAAAGGAACGTGGCTTTGAGCAATCAATGACCTGTCTCAACTAGTTTTCACTAACCAGTCTGCCATCCTGCTCATTGCAGTGCCTTTGTAATTAGGTGGTAGGATTCTTTAGTAATTTACCCAATAGAAGAAATAAAAGTTTATTGGCTACTATCCTATGAAGCTGTCTTTTTTAACCAATTTCTCATTCCTGATTAATTTCTTTAGGGTATAGCTGAGATTTTCCTTTTACCAAAAAAAGAAATAGAGTTTTCCCTCTCAATACCCGAGCAACTATTAGGATCAACATTGGCTAATGGTTTAGCGAAGGATTAAATTATTGATACATATCGGTATTGTACAGCACCAATACAGGAGGTGTATCTTGCCAGTTGTGCGTATTGGTTCGTTACGCCACCATATTGACATGTATTAAATAATATGCGTCGATACCAAAACTTATCCATTATCGTTTCAATTAATAGCGTGGCATCTCACCATAAAAAAAAAAGGAATAGTGTGACTCAAACCCCCGTTGGTCAATGTGTGCCATGCACCTAATGCCCAAGCACACTTTAACCAAAAATCCATTTCTTATTTCGAATTAGTAAGTGTAATAAAATAATGTTTATTAAACGTAATTTTTACATGAAACAAAAACAACACATTTATTTTCAAAAACTTCAACTATAAATTAAAAAGAACAATATTCAAAATTAGTATTTTGTAAATAAATGAATTAAATAATTTATAAAATCCATATATATATATATCAAAAATGAATTTTAATTTTAAAAATTTATACAAATAAAATATTCATAATAGAGTAATTATTTTACCACTTAAATTTTATAAATTTGCATGTGGTATATATCTTAATTTTTTATAAATTATTAATAAATATTTTAATTTGCATTAAATAACAATGTATTTACTACTTACAAAAATAAAAGTATTGTTTACAAAGTATTTGAAAATATAATTTAAATTGAATCTATCAAATCCATTAATCTACATTTTATATAAAAATAATTTTTAACTTCAAAATTTTATAAAAATAAAATATTAATAATAGAATAAAAATTTTAGTAATTAAAATTTATGAATTTTCATATGATATGTATTTCCAAAATTTTAATAGATTTGATATTTTAAGTTAAGATAATCTATTTTTATAAATTATTAATTGATATTTCAAATTAAATTTTATAATAACATATTTATTGTTTACAAAATTATAGATATTATTTATCAAACATTTAAGAATTGATTTTTAGTTGAATTTTTTGTTAATGTTAAAAAATAAAAATAGAAAAGTAGAAAAAACGATATAATAATTCAAATATAATAGTTGCATTTGCTTTATGCCTTACACTTTCATAGATAATAAAATAATATTGGCTTTTTGTATATATTAATTTGTAAAAATCTATATAGTATTTTCGTTGGACTCTTGAGTGTTGCATTGTTTATAAAATTGTATAATATATACATGTCCTACTATATTAATTATAATATATTTCTTCATATGTATATATATATATATCATTTAAATATACAATTCCTATGTATTTATATATTATTTATAGTTGTTTTGACGTTGAACTTAATGCTATTAATATATTTATGGTGTTTGCATAAATTTTCTTAGCGAATCCAAGCGTTTTCATATTTTTTCGTTCATATCCATGCATTTCCCAAGCATATCTGTATCTGTATCTGATGAAGGAAGATTTGGCCCGACCTCGTAACCACTCAACACGTGGCAAAGGCAACAGCTCGACACAACAGCACGCCCAAGGCGCGAGCTCCGAAAGGAGAAACTAGCGGTTCGAACTCCCCACAAGGAGCCCGAACTCACCACAAGGAACCAGAACTCTCCCTTTGACCTCGGGCCTTACGAGGAGCACAAAGGGCAAACAACCCGAATTGGCCCGCCCCACGGCAGTTCGGGCCACACCTCTATCCGAACTCAAGACTTCACCTCGCACACCACTTCAACACTTCGCCCCTAGGACGCCGAACTGAACAACCGTACCGTTCCTGACACCGAAGGAGTCCGTATCCTGAGGCGGCGCACCTGACTAACTTGGGATCTGACGCTTGACAACCGCACTTCAACGGCCACCTGCCACCGCCACCTGCCACCGCCATCTCCAGTTACAGAGACGGCTCCGACAAAGAGAGCAGTGGCGGTTCTGCCCCAACAGAGGTGATGACACCCGAACTGACAGAAGCTTGGGAGTGAGTGCACGAAGTGGTTATAAAAGGCCCCCTTCCCCCCAAGAAGAGAGGGGTATGTGATAACTTTGCGCCATCTGGATTTTATCTTGCCTTTGAGGAAATACTAAGTTGAGCTTCGGAGCATTCTCATCGGGTTCTTCCTCGGAGATTACTCGCTTTCTCCTCCGTTTCAGGCACCTTTTGCTCCAGTCCGAGGCAAGATCGTTGACAGTTAGGACCGGCCGGATTGCGCACCATCAATTGGCGCCGTCTGTGGGAAACACTTCTAAAAGCCTCCCTCTAAAACTCTTATAACCCCTTTTTTCCAAGAAACCCCAACACTCATGGCTTCTTCCAGTAATGCCGGACGTAGCACGGAGATGAACGCCCCCGGGGAACAACTTCAAGTCCCCGTGGTGTGCATCGGACAATTCACCATCCCCCTTCCGGTGGATGGGATCCCCAGCCTGAATGCGCCACGAACAGTGGCGCCAATGAACCTTCCCGCCGTGAATGTCCCCCTTCCTCTCCCCGTCGAGACAACCTTTACCGAACCAACTGCTGTCCCCTTGGCGACTAGCCAGAGCCAGTTTGATGACTTGATGCAGTGCATGCGGGCAATGCAATCCCAAATGCAGCAGTTCCAGCAGCATCAGCTCCAACAGCACCAAGTACCGCACCACCTCTCTCAGTATCACTATCAGCAACAGTTCCCCCAACTGCCTCCTCTAAACCAACCACAGCTTCCACCTCGGCACCCTGCTCCAAAGCCGGTTAAGCCCTCCCCTCAGGGTGGACGCCATCACCAAGGAGAAGCCTCCCAACTTCAGAACCCCCCTAACAGCCAGGCCTCATCCCTGGGTCGGAGGGAAAGAAAAATCACCCCCGCCTCACAGCTCGCTGGCGGGTTGGGAGCCTCGCCCGCCAAGTCAGCACCTCGGCGATCCAAGCCTGAGCTCCCGCTCACAGAGAACCGATTCAGCGTCCTAGCAGCGGACTACCAACAGTCCGGGCCCATCGAGCTCGGCAACACAGAGGCCAGCAATGCCAATACCAGGCCCACCCAGCAACGAAGATGCCGGCGAAGCCAAACTGCCACCCGTGTCCTGCCCGAGCTTAGAGGTAAAGAAGAGACAAGCTCGGACGAGGTAAAAGCTGGCCCTATTCTCTCAGTTCCTTCCCCCCTCTTATCAGAACTCCTCGTAATCCCCATGCCCAGAGACTTCAAACTCCCCCTTTAGACAAGTATGATGGGTCCTTCGACCCCAACGACTACGTCCCAAATGCACCTAGCAAGGGCCAGTGAATCGTGCATGTGCGTGGCCTTCACCACCACCTTCAGGGGGTGGCCCGCACCTGGTACAGGAACCTGGCCCCCGGGTCAATAAGAAGGTGAACCCAGTTCGTGCAGGTCTTCACCGCAGACTTCTTTACCAGCAAACGGTGTCCCATAACTGAGGAAAGCATCTTCAGAGTAGTCCAAAGGGAAGGAGTGCCCATTCGGGGCTACATCAAGCGGTTCAATGACGCGTGCTTGTAGATACCGTGACTGGACCCCGCGGTGCAGCTCGCGACAGCCAAGAGAGGAGCAACGCACAAGGAGTTCAAAAGGCACATGGTAGCTAACCAGCCCGCGAACGTGGCCGAATTCCTCAAGCTCGCGGATAAGTTCATGAGAACAGAGGAAGAGATCAACCAAAGGACTAAAAGCGGGATCGAGAAAAGGAAGAGGGAAGGCGAGCCCTCCAACCTAGATGACAGAAGAAAAAACCCGGCCCGGGAGGCGAAGCTGAGCCAGCCGTTCCGAGCTCCCTTAGCAGCTCGGACGGACTACACACCCTTAAACATGAGGCGGGCCGAGATCTTGATGACGATTAAAGACGTCCCATACATAAAATGGCCACCTTGCCTAAAAGGGAACCCAAACGAGAGAAACAAAAGCTTGTACTGCAGTTTCCATAGAGATCACGGTCATAGTACCGAACAGTGTAAAAACCTCCGGGACGAGATAGAGGGAGTCATCCGTCGCGGGTACTTGAGAAATTTTGTACAACACAATAATAATAATAATAATAATAATAATAATAATAATAATAATAATAATAATAATAATAATAATAATAATAATAATAATAAGACAGGTC